TATATATATATATATATATATATATATATATGTGATGTTTTGCTACATAAAGAAAGGAAATTGAAATTCAAATCATTATTGTTCTTAGTCATATGTGTTAATTGTTTCTTACTTATTGTTTAATGTTATTTTTTCGATTTACATGCAATAATTATTTTATACTTAATATATTTGATCTTTTATATATAATTTCTAAACACAATATCTTTATAAGTTAAAAATCTTGTTACTAGTTAACTGAAAAAGAATCTATTGCAACATTGAATTTATTAGTCTTGCAAATTAAAATATTTTTTTTAAGATGTGATAAATTACTGCTTTCGAGATTTTTGAATTATCTTTGCCCTCTTGAAACAAAGATATTAACTTTGATGTTGGATGTCATTCTCAACTTTTGTGAATTAAACATTAACTTTTGTAATAATGTTGTTGGAATTAGTTTATTTAAGAATCTCATATTGCATTTTATAAAGCATAAAAAAATAAAAAATTACTTTACACGAGATCATGTTCAAAAAGGTTATAGAATTTATTATTTGAATATATTTTTTTAAATAATTTATAAAATATCTTTTAAATAGAAAAATTAAAATGTATATCAACACATCCATTAATAAATCATTATGTTATTTTTAATTTATTATACATGGAAAAATAATTATTTTCAATTATCATTTTTAGTAAAAACATATTTTAAAGCAACCAATATAAAGTGCATATTAGTGTATTTGAAAAATTATATATGAAAGTATTATATACAATACTTTTATTTTTTAACTAGTGGGTAAAAGACACTATATTTTTTTTAACACACACATTAGTGAAGGTAGTGACTAGTTACTAAGAGATTAAAAAAAATTTATATCAAAATCTTTTTATGATCTTTATTAATTATTATTATGCATTTTTTAAATATTAAAACTATCAATAATAATATATAAACTAAAACAGAAAAAATCCCCTTATATATGTAGATATAGATTATATATAGATATAAATTTAAAGACATAAAATGAATCCAATATATCATTCATTAATTCTTTGTTATTTTATATACTTTCTAAATAATAAAATATAAATTTTCATTTTTATTATACTATATTAAATAATAGTATGATATATATTTTTTTATTATCATATTCTGCCTCATTTTCATCTTCTTATAGTATCTTACCCTATTTCATCACTAGTTAGATGAGGAAATAGAAACAGCAACAATAATATAATTGAAGAGAAAAGCAGGGTAAGGAAAAGTACAACTCAAACAGATTCATGCATGAAAGTCCAATTCAGTTCACAAAACCTTGATATTGTCCCATAGAAATAGATGAGATGGCTATTTCCTATTTGGGTTGGACTCGTAATTTTCCAATCTTACAACTTGTTTAGCCTTCATAATAACAAATCAGTTAATCTTCTAAATCCGGTCAACAAAGAAATAAATTTAAATAATCTATCTACAGACTGTTTAAAAGAATTTTATAGGATCATTATTACAAATTAATATGTAGTGTGTAAGTTTGTTAACTTTTATATTAATATTAATTATCTTAATTCTTTTTACCAGTAACAACTTTTAATTAGTTGATAACGTAAGAATCTACAATAATACAAAATTGAACATTAGCATTGCATCACATTCAATTAAAGGGAATCTCAAATTTTAAACTAAAACCACTTGTGCGGCCAGTCATGAAGCCCAATGGTGAAAAACAAATTAAAAGCCACAAAAAGTAACGAAAATAAAAATTAATATCAAAGATGATAAAAGAAAAAAAAGTAGAATAAAAAAAAATCCATAGTCACAACCCATGAAACATGACGATACAGAGATGAAATATATTCATATAAATTAATCAAAAAGTTTGATTTTGATACACATTTTGATGTTCTATACGATTTATAAGAACAGTTTTATTGTATACATAAAAAGGTATAAAAAAAATATACTTTCAATGTCTTTATACTATTATAAAAATTAATAAATTTATTTACATAATATATTACTTGAATAATGGATTAAAAAAGAGTCTATACCACCAAAATATTATTATTACTTTTATATATTTTTATTATAGGTAATTCTACACTTTTAAGACATTTTTTATTTTTTAAAATTTAAATTTTGGTTGATTATGTTATGAGACTAATTACTTCTATTAAACTAACTAGTATTTTAGTTAAATTTTTATAATAATTATATATAAAAATAATATATTTAAATATATAAATTATATTTAAAATAAGTACATAAATATTTTTAAACATATAAATTATATTTTAAATTTATGTTTAATAATTTGTATTGTAAAAAAATATTTTTTATTTATTAATAAATTATTTAAATAATATTTAATTAATAAATAATCATGATAATAAAAAATTGAAATAGATAAGAGGTTAATTTTTTCTTTTTTTACAAACCATCTCATATGAGAAAAATTCCTAAAAAATACTTTTGTACAAGATAGAGTTTCATGTTTAATGTACAAAGATTGTTTCTATTATCATTGATACTTTAGTTAGAAGATAAAACATGTATCAATGGTATAAAATTATTTTATATTATTATCAAATTACAAACTATTATGTAATGAATTTATTGATTATGATAATATTATTAACCGAATTTTATTTTTAATTAATTATTGATTCAAACCTAAATCATGTATATATTATCTGTAACTTCTTGTAATCAGATCATTTCTGGTGGTTCAATAAACATTTTTTTTTCTTTTATACATCACAAATGATAGTTAAGGGATGATAATATGACTATTTGGATGAGAGTCAATGACATATTATGATTCTTTGATTAAGAATATATTTGGATGGACGTCCAAATTCACATCTAAATAAGAATCATAGGAAACTAAGAGAGAAATTACTCTTTATTATTTCTATTTGATGTGGAGAGAGATTGATGATCCATGTTTTGAATTTGATTTCAAACACATACTAAATATTACTATCCACTTAGTAATTAGTGAAAATTTAACATGATCTAATTTAATATAGAATTTTACTTTTCAAACCCAACATTTAGTTCAATTTAATGATATATTATTTATTATTTTTTATAGTGTCCGAAAAAAAATGTTTACACCTGAGATAATTTTGACAACATTTTCTTACAATGATTATATATATAAAAAAAAAAATTGATGGTAAAGCAAAGTAAGTGAGTCTGCGGTGGGGATGGTGGCTTTGTGTATTTTTGGTATTATAAAGATAAACATTGGATGGGGCAGAGTTGTGGACACACACAAACACATGGGTCTTCCTTCAACTCCACACCCCAAATCCAACACCAACACCTAACCCACACACCTCCCATCTCCATTTTCACCTTCTGCAATTCTAATAACCACCAAAGATCTTCCTTTTTTCATTTTTCGGGAATACCCTTTAACTTATTTTTCTTTTTTCTTCCTTTTTTCTTTCTTGGGTCATTATTAACATCATTTGATCCAGAGGTTGAATTGCAGAAGGTTATTGATATGATTTATCTGTTGGACTCTTCTGTTTCCAGCCTTCATTGGTGCGTTTTTTTGAGTTTTTATTTTTTAACGCTGTCTCGATCATCTTCATTTTTTTGGACTTGGTCTGATTTTTTTTTTCTTCTAGCTTTATTGATTTTTGTTCTTCTGGGGTTTATGGGGGTATCGCAAAACTTTTTCTTTGTTTTTTATTTTTTTCCGGGGTTTCAGTTTTTTCATGTTCTGCTTTAGAACAGCTTAAAGGAAATGAAATAAAAAAATAAAAATAAAATAAAATAAAATAAAATAACTCCGTTGCTTGTGGGTGATGACAACTCAAGCTTTGAGGGGTTTTTGGTGAATGTGTGTTTGGCAAGTCTGCGATTGTATTTTCTTTTAATCAAAGTTTTTCTTTTACTCTTCATGTTGATCGTTTCTGAAGAAACCTTTTGTATGTGGGCATTGATTATACTTCCTTCAGCTTGAAATTTTGCTCTCAGATGGATGGTTTTTTCAATTTTTTATTTTTCTCTTTGAGGTACTTTCAACTTTATTACCTCTCGTTTCCTTTCACACCGTATTGTTGATGGATCAAAATTTGGTTCCATATTCTCCCAAGGATTAACATAAAGTTAGTTTTTATTTTTTTATTTTAATGCGAGTCTTTTGTTAAGTGAAAATATGGATATCAAATGTAATCAATGAAGTGGGGAGCTTTATAGAATTTATGTGCTTCGTCTTGTGGCTTTGTGAAAAGAGGGAATTCATTTGTTTTGTTCAAATGTTGTTTCAGGCATAGGCACTGATTTTGTTACATACCATGAATTGTTTGGGCTTCATCTGTTGCCAGTACGGAGGTCGAGAGATTTGTTCGTGTTGCAGTTCTTGGATGTACATTATCATGTCCTGGACTTTTACTGTATGCCCTGCAAAGGAAATGATGATTGCAATGTCTCAAATGTGGATGCCACTGATGGATACATGACATAGTTGGAACTTGGAAATTCTTATAGTTATAGGTTTAGAACTACTTGATGATAGCATTCCAATTATAATTGTAGTTGCTAATAGTTAGCTTGAATGGTTGAATAGTGTAATTGGTAAGGGTGGAGGCTAGGATTGCAGTTGTTTGTTGAAAACTGTACGTCTTACCATGATCATCTGGTAAGGGAAAATAGTGAAATGAACGTGCAAGACCTCGCCTAGGGATCACATTAGTATTCTCAAGCTAGTTTGTTTTTCATCACCTTAGGTAGATCACATTGCTAAATTGAATACTAGTGATGGGCTTGCCACAGATACCCCCGAGTGAAACTGCTGAAAAGGTCGCACTTGTGGGTGCAGCTTTAAATACCACGGCACAGTTTTCAGATGCAAGCCCCTCTGCTATTAGCAGCATGAACAATGTAAGCACTGGTGGGTTGTCTGTGTGTACTCTGGGATCTTCATTTGATGACTTCCCAAAGAATGCCTCCCTAGAAATTTCAAATGTTTCTGATAATACGTTTTATAGAGGTGCGATGGAAGTCGCTTCCAATGTCCATAGTTTGAAGATTGGTTCAACAGATAGAAGTACTCCTTTTGCTTCAAAAAGTGGACGAAATGTTCATATTCCTGCTTCAAGGGTTGTTGGTTTTGAATCAGGCCGAACTAATACTTCAACAGATGGTTTGCCTGATGTTCCAGCTACAAGTTTTCATTCTTCTGCTTTTACTAATTTCACAGCCAATGACACCGAATCTGCCAGTTCATTAGTAAGGAAGCGACTTTTATCTCCACTGAGCAGTATGCTCTCCCCAAGTCATTTCAGAGGTGATCCTCTTGACATTGGCTGCAGAAATAACGAGACTGGATCTCTTGTGAAGAACGATAACGATAGAAATTCCATTGCACAGGATAATAAGAAGGCAAACATTGGAAGTAAAAGCAGTTATAGGTCCTTGGCAAGTTGCTTTGAGCAAAGAAATGCACCAGACAGTACACAATCCTTCTTTCAAACTGATGGTCCTCTGAGGGAAAATAGAGGACTACTGTCTCGGGGTAGTTCACCCACTGGTGGAATTGATCACTTTAGTGAATTGAGTCCGGTTAGGCCTCAAAGTGGCGTAATATCTGTATCTCCTAAAAACATGAGCTCTCCTCTTTCCTTGTCACCTCTTGGTCCTAGATTTTCTGAAAGAATAAAAGCTACTGGAGGATGTAGGAATGATGTTGAAGAGATAAAGAATTGCAATGTAACTTCAAGGAGTATAGAACAATCACTTGACAATTCCAACTCATGCCTTATGTTAAATCATAAGGATGATGATTCCGGAGTTTCGTGTAAATCTTTTGATGATGTTGAATTCTTATGCAAAGATTTCTGTCCATCTTCTCTGGATGATATTTCCGACATGAGTTGGCCACTGTCTCAAGATTCAGCTCCTACCTCTCATTCCATGAGATTCACAAGAAGTTTGAGTGGGCTTTCGGTTAGGAGGTCTTTGGTTGGTTCTTTTGAGGAGTCTCTTTTATCTGGCCGGTTCTTATCAGGAAACAATAGCAAGGTCTGGATATATGCTTATTACCATGCTGTAATTGATCTTGTTCATGATTCTAAACATCGTTGCACTGAAAAGTTTTAGATAACTGACCCATGGTTGTTTGTTGCTATTGTAGAAAATCGATGGCTTTCTTGCTGTGCTAAGCATTACTGGGGGAAACTTTTCTCCTAAATCACAGAAGCTTCCATTTTCTGTTACTAGTGTGGATGGTGATTGTTATCTATTGTATTATGCATCAATAGATCTTGCGGGAAATTCCTCTTCAAACAAGTTTAGAGGCCAATTGCTGAAGCGAGGGCCTAGAAATGATGATTCGCAAATTGTTAAAAGCCGTTTACGTATACCAATGAAGGGACGGATTCAACTGGTATCGATATACTTATTTCACTGTTATAAGTTTTAAACCTTGTAATTTGAGTGCCTTTTGATGAACCTGTTAGAGCCTTCATTTTATAACTGCAGGAATATTATGGTATGCTTAACATTAAGGGAGGTAACAAATGTACTGTTAATAAATAACAAATTGGGTGTCAATCGAGGGAGGGGGGGTATATGGCCCACAGACCAGTTCACAAAGCCCACAAGCCGGCACAGGCCTAGGTCAATAGAGAATGCACTGCTTTCTTTTAAGATATATATACATATGCATATCTTTATTTGTGCCGTGTGGATGAGAATGTTTCAGGAGGCATAAAAGGGTAAGGATTGATGTACAATCATCAATACTTTGCCTTCTTTACTCTTCTAATCCCCACTACCAAATATTTAAGCTGTGCAACGATTATTCTTGTTCTTATTTGTCTAATTTTGTAATATTGTTTACATATTCAATTTTGAGTTTCCACTTTCAAGATATTTGTGCATGTTGCCATCTTGTGTTAAAATGCCTTACATTTGGTTGCTCTTTGCAGGTGCTAAGCAATCCAGAAAAGACTCCTCTTCACACTTTCTTTTGCAACTATGATTTGAGTGACATGCCAGTCGGTACCAAAGTAAGATTTGTCAGTCCGGATGAATCTGTGACTCAATTGATCTGGAAATTTTGCTTCCTAATGACATAATTGTTCTTACAAGGATAATTTTAGCTTTGAACTTCATTGAAGTCAGTGTTGTCACCAGATGAGAGGCCTGTAGAGGTGGTAACCCGAAAAACTGCCTCTTTTAAGTATTGGTAGGCAGGGTGGTTGCCTCGTGAAGGTGAACAGCCATGATTAAAAAAAAAAAAACCTAGAACTGAATAATAAGATTTAATCGTAAATCAACCTTAAGAGATCAGACATTACAAAGTATTTGCATCGTTGAAATATTCAAATGAAGTGTTGAAACACAGGAGAGCAAACACAAATGGAAATTATATCTTAAAAGCAAAAGACTACTAAGACACAAGTAACATAAAGTAATATATGACTTTTCTCACAAAATAAGAAATATAATGAGACTGGAAATGGGCAACGAGTGCTGTGTTGCCAGTTCCTTTGGTGGCAGGAGGGTAGATGTAAGGCTTCATTTCCTCTAAGAGGAAAATTATTGGTTTGTGGTTTGATTTGCATAAAGCATATTAAATCCATTCGCAGTAGGATTTTTCACATGGTCTTTTGCCTGGTATTAGTCAGGCCTTCACATATTGCCTAAAGTTATGCATATTTAATTAATAGTAAGCAACATGAGTAGTAAAAATATTTATTCTTTTATAGTTTATTAATGTAAGAGTCAGAAATTTTGTTGTCTATGGGTTTTTTAATGAATGTTAATGGATCTGGTATGGAGGTTACTGAAGCAAAGCTTGTTAGTTGACACTTTGGGGAACCTAGCATGTCCTGTTACATCTGGATGGTCTAGTTTTGAGTGCATCTGTAGTACTGGTGGCCATATTAATATATTATGTGTAGGAATACATAAATGTCCATACCAGAGATCAATGGATTTGTTAATTATTTAGTGGATATGAGGATAATTTGAAATGGGAGGTTCAGAGGTTGTGAGGATAACTATTTAATGTTGATACTTGACTGTTTTATAAGTGGCATATTTTTTAAGTAGCTTTTTATGTCAAGTATTTTGAAAAATTATTGAACTAAATACAAAATCACATTAAATTTCTTTTAAGAGTAATTGACCATTTGTCCAAAGGTATACATGACATCATATTGATCCTCTATTTGTCTGAAACATCAAATTGGTCCTCAACGATTATAAATACACTTAGTTTTGTCCTTCTTGGAATCAATTTGATGGCTTAAAGTTGGCACTGAAGGACCAATGTGATATATTTATAAATGGAGGGCCAATGATTATAAATGCACTTAGTTTTGTCCTCTGATAAACTTGCATTTATTTATATTTCTGAATTTGTGATTTCTCTGAGTTACGGTTTAAAATTGAATGTTATTTACTTATTCTTTATCAATTTCTGATTTCTTGTTATTTATCCAAATAGACATTCATGCGCCAGAAAGTCACCCTTGAATCTTCCACTTCTCCTCAGTTGAAACAGAGATCAATGGGTATAAACAGTGGAATGCAAAAGAATCATGACATCTCATGTGGTGGGGAAGTGATACATACAGATGCAGCTAATGTTGTAAATAACACAAAATCTACAAATCAAGGAAATGGCAAGGGCTCTAGCTTGTTGAATTTAATAAACAAAGAGGATTCTTCTAAGCAATCTTTGAACATGAAAAATCTTGGAGTCCCTTTCCCAGCAAAGACTGATTATGAATGTATTACTGATAAATGTGAGAGGAATGAAAGAAAGGAGTGTTGGGATAAAACATGTGATGAATCAGGGAAATCACTAAACTCCTGTTCAAAGGTGAAGGACAATTCTAGTAGTGGTGGTCCACTTCGATATGCCCTTCACCTGCGCTTTGTTTGCCCTTTTCCTAAGAAGACCAGTAGATCAGCTCAAAAATGCAAATATAATTCTCTTCAAGAAAAATCTGGATTGGACATGGAAGGGGAGCGAAGATTCTACTTATGTAATGATTTGCGGGTCGTGTTCCCTCAACGTCATTCTGATGCTGATGAGGGCAAGGTATGCCTATGTTGTGGTTTTGCCACTTGATTGCATATCATTTCAGTGTTAAAGTCTGTTTAGGTCCAGTCTAGAAAAGTTTTTTAGGACTTCTCTATTGAAAATAAAAAGTTTTTTTCAAAAGAGAAGCTCTTAAAAGCCCTTATAGGCTGGTATCCGAATATGCTCTTGTACTACATATGCCAAAAACAATGGTTTCAGATTGCATATGTGAAAAATTATCAATTTACTTTTTTCTGGTTCATTTTTGTTAACTATTATTCTTATTTTGGTTCTTTGATATCTTTAAATTTAGTGACAATTTCTCCATGACAAAGTAATTTCTCCATCCTTGTAGTTGTTCGGTGTTGTTTGATGCTCACCCCAGACACTTAGAAATTTCACCAAGAAAGAGTTTGTTTAAGCTTTATAAAAGTGCTTTATTCACTAGTCACTTTTGTAAGAACCTATCAAAATAATCTTTATTGAATTGAGAGCTGGTGACCTAAGCTCCTTGGTGATAAGCTCTTACTGAACAGATGTTTAGTTAAGTTATTTGTCTATACATGACCCAAAGCTGAAACCAGGGTAGTGTGCATTAGAGTCATAAGTTAATTCTTTTGCTGATCAACGATAACCATTCTTGTTTATTAATGTGAGTGGTCATGTTTCCTAGGATTCATACTAATGTGGATGCTGGTCCCATGATGTTGAACCCATGCTAGGATGATAAATTCATTAAAGATGTCTAATCGTTTCACTTTTATCTATAAGGTTGAACAGAATGTTGTTACTTGTTGGCTCTGCTTCCTGCAGGTGCAGGCAGAATAAGATTGATGTCTTGGTTTGTGTGTTGTACAATTTGAATCTATTGGTTTGCATTTCTTGGTCTGCATAGTTGCTGACATGGTCTGATGATATGTCTTATTTCGCAGTTGAACGTGGAATACCATTTCCCTGAAGATCCAAGATACTTTGACATCAACTGAAAATTCTAGTTTACCTCCAAAAAGCATGCTGCTTTTGCTGACCCTCTTGTATATAATCACAAGCTTGTCTTCACTTGAGTCATGTCCTCTGGAAAAATAGCACTAACCCTTCTCATGTAAATTCTTGAACAATTTCAATAATTTAATGGGTTAACTATTTCAAATTGCTGACCTAATTAAGCAATTACTATGAAAAGTGGATATTATAATGCATGGTGGAACTTGATTACCCTATTCTCTAGACCCAAAGCAGCATTTTAAGTTGCTTTGGTACCTACGGTTTCGTTAAATATTTATTGGTAGGTGATTCTCACGGTCACGGGTTTGGTTTATCTTTAATACAAGGAGCAGTTTAGGAACATTTCTTTAATAATTGCATGAGTTAATAAAATATTATTTTGATGTGTCACATGATTTTAAGTTGTTTAAAATTGATGCGATGCATGTATGAGCAATCATTCTTTATATTTTGCTTAAAATTGACTAGTTGCTTACTACGATTAATATTTGAACTTCTATTTCAATAATTGTAATTGCGCATTTTATTGTCTTAAATGCACCTATAATTTCACACGAGCCAAATTTGATTTTAACAATATTTAAGAGCTTTGGAAAGAATGTATTAAGAATATATTGTTAGTTAATGATTAATAAATTTTTAACTTGTTAAAAAATGTATACTATTGTTTGCGGTGAAACTTGTTTATGGATTCTTTTTCCTTGAACTAGCAAAGTTTTCAATTTAAGTTTATATATTAAGTTTTTAATTTTATATGAGTTAGCATCTAAACATTTCTAAATGTTCTTCGATGATTATCATGAAACGAGGTTTATGCATAAAAATATTTAAGCGAATCGAGTGAATAATATATATATTGATAACAAGAATCATGATTTGTTTACTTCCAATAATTGTTGAATTACAGTACATAAGGATTCTAAGAAGCAACAAAATTGCAATACTATACTAACTAGGCTAGAACTACTCTAAGAAAAGAAAAGAAAAAGGGTGGCCAATAAATCATATTCAGTGATCTTGTGCACAAGAGTCATGAACGTAGGCAATAGATGCATATGAGCGTGTAAGTATTGAATTTCTAACCTTTTGAACAAACTTGCTTCTTTTATTTATAGAGGGAAAGACAGTTATTTTGTGTTAGTTCGACGTGGATATGCAACCGCTTTGCCTTATGTGACGTGGGTAACCTCTTAAAAATCGTTTTTAACTTCTCGTAACCTCCTTACGACCTATTGAATAATTCTCTTTGCATCCTTTAGAGATTATTTCAAGAGGTAGTTACTATGTAGGTCCCAAATGATATCTAACTTCTATTTTCCGTGGGTGATACCTTGTGGGTCATTTTATAACTCTTTATTTGATAGTCAAAATTTGTTTTCGAGGATGTTAATATTAGCACAACAATCGATTCACATAAAGTCCTCTTTCTAATGATCGGTTCGTTTTATGTCACGTGTATATCTTGTTTGAACAATCCGTAATTACTTTCCTAGTTATTGAATCTTTTCTTGAAACTATCTTCGAGCATATGCATAAATTCCTTGCTAACAACTATGTATACTTTTTTTTCTCAAAAAAATGAATAATAAATTAAACACCCATGATAAATTAATTATAAAGAACAATAATTATTCTAAAAATGAGTCTTGTTTCTCATTTTTAATAAAAAAAATTACTATAATCGTTAGTGGTTGAAGTTAGAAAAATATGTAAAAGGTAAAAAGAAAAAATCCTTTATCAAATTATGACATGACTTATTGAAATGATATTTATTTATTTTTTTATAAACATTAAAAGGTGATACCTAATTAATATTTATCTGGAGATATATAATGGAAGATTTGTCATGTGAATGAATAATCTTCTTTTGTATTAAAAAAATTCACAAATGTAAATAGCTTATGATTCAAAACAAGACCTTATTTATTTATTTATAATTTTACGCAAAAATTATACTTAAACCTACAAAATGACGATCAAAGTAGTGTTATAAAAACACAACTTCACCTTAAAGAACCGCGATTAGTAACCCGACTTTCAATTTATAAAAAATATTATGTTTTGAAGCATAATTTTTTTTTTTGAAAGCATATTTTACAAATAAGACTTATTCATTTATAGATTTTTTAAAATATATCCATTTCAAGTTTTTTTAAAAGAAAATTAGTTTGGTGTCAAACAAAAAAGAAAATTACCCATTTTGTTAAACTAGTCAATATTCCGCTGCAATTTATATATATATATATATATATATATATATATATATATATATATTTTAACTATGTAATATATGTTAAATTTGCTAAATAGTTGCTTAGGATTTTGAGGATGTGAAGACAAAGCACTTTGAAATTGCCACGAGCCATCAAGCTCAGTTTTTCAGTATATTGCTAAAACATTTACCGACAATTATTTTATATGCTGGTAAAGACTCTCGTAAATCGTAATGATTGGAAAAAGTGTATAACTTTTTATGTCATTTGTTACTGATATTTAAAATTGTCGCTAAAAGTTTAAGAAAAGATTTATAATACTTCAATTATATTATTTCTAGTCAATGTAGGACTTGTAAGATGAGTACAAATACTTTTTAATTACCTTATTTCTAATTGATGTGAGACTTAGAAGATGAAAGTTATCTTCTAAGTATATATTCTTTAATTTTTTTAATTATCTTATCTCCTAAATATCAACTTAAAATAGTAAGTTATAAGCCTAACTCAACCTTATAAAACATACTTGTAAGGTGAGAGTTATTATTCACTTATATACTCTTTAATTATTTTATTTCTAGTCGATGTGAGACTTAAGTTTTTTCTATAAAATAATTGTCGCTAATAGTAAATTTTAATGTGATATAAATATATTTTTAGTGCTTATTATATAATAGTCATAAATATTTTTATTAAATAATAAAATAGAAATAATTAATTTATTATTATTAAGTAATTATCGGTAATACTAAATTTTATTGTAGTGTGATATTGGGTGATATCAATATCCTATATTAATGTTATTTAGGTACGGTCATACACCTACCACGTGTATGGTAACACGATTGTTATTAATGGTAAGGACATATGGTCAAAGAACCGCCACATCATTGTCATTATAAGAAGAGTTTATGATATTCACGTAATGATTCATCTAGTATGACATGTCAATATAATATTTCATTAGAACTTTCCGTGTATTATTTTGTGATTAAGTTCATATATCCTTAATCATCATAAGTGCTACATTTAAGTAAAATATATAATTCACTAAATAAATTTAGAATACTGAAGAAGAATTTACTTTGTTTTAGACATGATAGAGAGTATCGTTGAAATTTCATATATGTTGGTGAAGTAATCGAAATTTAGAAGTGCAAGGTCTTTATATATATATGGGATTATACATTTCAAAATTTTAGGTTTTCAATTGGTCAAATTTAAAGAGTAATTATATATCGTACGGAAAATGAGATCTAATTACAATGTTTATTAACCTTTCACTATTCCCATTACATTTTTAATATATTAAATGGTAGAAAATTTTCTTATGTTTTCAATTTAGAAAAAAAAATTAAATAAAGATAAATTTTTTTGAATAAAATAAAATTGTTTAATATAATAAATTAAGTTTTCATCCACAATTATAAATAGCTTCTTAATGTTAATAATGTCAATTTTTTTAAAAATGTCACATTGTGTGTGAGATAAAATAGTTTATGTAATTTTAATGTTTTTTTTTCTTCATGTCATTCGATCATAATTCGTCATGTAAAATAAATTTATTAATGTTTACAAAATTAATTAAAAGGCATATATTATAATTTGTGATTGATTAATAATGTAAAATAATTTTATATTGTCATTTAACTTGAATAATTACATAACATTTCTTTTTTCTTTTTTAGCTATAATATTATTCAAAGTTGGATAAATCATGTAACAATTGTGTTGTGCACTAGAAGCTCCCACAAACACATGTATGTACATTAATGTGATATTGTCTAGTTTAGGTGTAAGTATTGGTGGATTTACTTTTAGTTATCATCCAAAAGGTCTCATATTAATGAAGATATATGCGTCTTTATAAACTAATGTTCCACATCTTGTTCTAATAATGTGAAACTTTGATTGTATTATAAGAATTCCCCCTTCAAATAAAGAATTAAGGTTTAATCCCCTGTAGCAAAACTAATTTTTTTCAGTCGATGAGTATCTAATGGAGGCCCATAGAACTTACTCATTTTCTAGGTACTTGCATCGTCGTTCCACTATATTATCTCATAATAGCAGGACACATCTCCTAACTCTTCATGTCACCAAGAAGACTTTACATACATGGATCTACCATGAGAAAAACTATCAATACAAGGGATCCTATCTCCAAATTTGCTTGTCAATTTTATCATACTTGCCTAAACTAGTCACCTCATTGAACTATTGACTTTGATACCACTTGTAGTGCATCGAGGTTTTCAACACACATATGTCACTATATTGGTATGATATTGTCTAGTTTAGGCTTAAACCCTCATGCTTTTGTTTTTGGTCATCACCCAAAATTCTTTATTCCAATGGAGACATTTGTGCCTTTATAAATCCGTGTTCCCCCTCTTGTCATAAGAGTGTGAGACTTTGATTGTGTCTCCATAATTCTCCTTTAAACAGAAGTCATTTCTTCAATCCATGAGTATTCAATAGTAACCAATAATGTTCATTCCTACTCTAGATACTTACATTGTCGCTCCACCGTTTCACGTTAATCGGAAGACTCTCCATTCATGGACCTACTTGCCAATTCAATCATACTCATCTAAGTTGGTCACTTGATTGAATGATCGACTCTAATACTACTTGTTGTGCACTAAGAGTTCTCACATATGTCCACATTAGTCTAATATTGTTTACTTTGTGCCTAAGTCCTCATAAATTTGCTTTTGGTCATCATTCAAAAGATTTTATATTCATAAAGACATTTGTTCTTTATAAACTTATTTTCTTCATTTTATTCAAACGATGTGAGATTTTGATTGTATCACAACAAATTGAATATATTCAACTATGGGAGAGTAGAATCATTGATCCTCGTTATTTCTTCTTCCAATTAAAAATTGATTAGTCCTTAAAATTTTCCTTAATTTAAAAAAAAGTTACTTTCCCTTTTTTTTCTTCCAAAGTGCTCCATAGTCTTAGAATATTCCTTGACCAATTGATGCT